GTCGTGAGAGGCGTGCGCAAGGATTTAGGGGTGCAAGTGTTGGGGCTTGTTTTCCATTTGTTTTCGTGAGGTTCATTAGGAAAAAAAAAATAGTTTTGTTAATTTTGGGTTCTTGGGAGATTTGAGGGTAGTTTAAGAAAAAAAATATCAATCATGTTACTCGAGCAATTAGACGAGTTGGAGTGGGAAGATCTCGCGATATTGGAAGGTTTGAATAGAAGTTTAACCCCGTGGGAGCAAAAGTATTTGGAGGAGTTGTACGAGCGGAAGGGTTTAGAGGAGGAGCATGAGCGACGGGCCAAAGCCAAGAAGGGGATCGTCGACGAGGAGAAGATTTTGGCCGTGGTCGAAGCGGGCCATGATGACGAGATGCACGTGGAGGACGATGCCGATGAAGAGGTGGTGACGCCCCAACTGATGATCGATGATGAGTCCTTGAGGACAAGGACTCATTCGAAGGGGGGAGGAATGATGAAATGTGGGTTTCGAGGTCCGAGCACGCCAAGGGCCAAGGGTCGAGATGATCTGAGAAGGCAGAGAAAAGGGCCAAAAACACGCATGCATGGCCTAAGAGACGGGTACGAGCTCGTATGCGAGGCACACGAGCACAAGAAGAACGACATAAGTCGACCCGTACGCGGTTGAGGCGGTCGACATGCCTGGGGATGGCCCAGGGCAGCAGACGAGAGTTCCGTGCGAAGGAACGGACACACTCACAGACTCGAGCATATCGCGCACGGTCGAGACACGAGAACCCCGTAGGGTGATGGCGAGGACTGGATGAGATCCGGGCTAGACGACGTGGGCCTCGGTTGAAGGGACGGATACGCGCGAGCAAAAATGAACGCACGTGCCGGGTAGATACGCGAACGGGCCTGGCGAGAATAAGCAGGGGATGGGGCCGAGGCACTTGCGTGGGCTGGACCTACGAGGGCTTTGCGAGAAGGGGCCTGACAAGCCGAGGGGCTAGAAACGGGCCTAATGAAGTGCGTGACCGAGCACGCGGGGGCGTACGCGGACGTGTTGCGCGATCACATGAGGCGAGACGTGCGAGCCGAGGAGCAAAGATTCTAGAATTATTAGTTTAATTAATTATTAGTTTGGTTAGTATTAAAGTTAGATTAGTCTATATGTTAGTGGCGCATTTGTTAGTCATTAGCCGTATTAGTGTGTTTATTAGATGTTTGTTATTTAGTTAGATTAGTGGCGTAAATCTATACTTATATTAAAAGGTATCCAATTTACCAGATTTAGTATAAAAAAAAGTCAAAGGTAATTAATATTTGCTGGAAATAGAATGACATTAATTACAGATTTGTTTTGGTATTTATAGCTTGACATTAAAGATTTTTTATTGGATAAAAATCAGAACCGATTTTTTTACCTTTGCTGAAAAAGTCAAATGTAAGTATAGATTTGTTTTATTCCATAACATCGGTTTAGTTAAAATAATCTCATAAAATCGATTTTAATGTCAAGCCTATAAATAAAGATTTAATCGGTTTTAATAAAGCAGATTTAATCGGTTTTAATAATTGCATAGAATTTCAAAGCTGTTATTTATTGTAAAAAAATTAATTCTAAAAAATCATTTGTGTATATTTGTAAAATGTTTGTACAAAATATTTTACTTTAAATTTATTTACATAATTTAAATTAATTACATTAATAAATTATATGAACATACATTAAATATTTTAATTACATAAAACAAAAAGAAGAAGAAGATTACATCTATAACTTATAATAATAATGACATTACACTGCAATAAATTTTATAATGAAATAATATAAGTATTATACGAGGAACAAGATTACATAAAATTGTTATTTTTCTTATATCAATGAACAAATATATATAATGAAACCAAATTTATATTATTATAAACATGTGAGCGAGATAATATATTAATTAATTTACAGGCTAGTGCTACCAGACTCAGATTTAATGTTCCGACAAAAAAATGACGTTGATGAAAAGATGTAAAAGGATAGATGATCAAACTCTATTATTTCTTAGGCCGGAACGGACAAGCCCTATGGTTCACTCATTTAATATCTCCCGCGAATCGCATGAGCTACTTAATGGACAAGTTCTGTGGAAATAACTCATTAATACTTATGTCCCGTGCATCGCACGGGCTACGTGCTAGTTGTACTAGTGTTAGGTTAGTAACTAATATAATGTTAGTAACGTGAGGACATTTAGATATGTTAGGATTTATTTGCCGTGTGGCGGTTGGGTTAGATTTGTTAGTTTACTGAAGTTAGCTGTGAGTTAGTATGGGCGAGAGTTTAATTAGTTTAGTTAGGAGTTTTAATTATTTTGGTAAGTCTTGTTATTCAAGACATTTAGTTACCTTAGGGTTAGATATATTTTCCATAGATTAGAATTAGAGTGCTCATAGGACTAGATCTAGTTTTTCTTATAAATACCCTATGTACTCATTCGAATTATTTATCAATTGAAAAACTATATAAAACCGAACACTTGTTCAAATTGTCTTGTGAGTTTACTCCTATGAGTTTACAAACTAGATCGTGTTACAAATAGGACCAACACCCGATTTTCTTTCACAAACCGCGAAGTACGAAGGCGTCGGCGCGCGTATTAGCAACCTATCGCTAGGAACCAAGGCGTCGGTGCGAGTTTCGAGCAAGTCGAGTTGGTGAGACACACGATCCCTCATCACAGTCCCCGAGCGGCCCCGATCACAATTTTATGCCTCGCTGGCCAGTTTAATTTCAGCCCAATTTTCTTCTGGTGGTGCAAAACATCTTCTAAACTCTCGTACTTCATGTACTCGTACACGAGATGTCGTTCTTCCCTGACTTAACAGTACCCGAGAAGAAGAACTAAACTCCGATGTTTGATTTTCTGGATCGTCTCCATCTCAACTGTGAACTCGCGCTCCCCTTGCCACCTGACGTGGATCGGTTTCTTGATCGTGACCACACTCCCGTCTTTGAGCTCGGCTTTTTACACATCGTCAAAACCACCCTAACCGATAAGGCTCTCGTCGTTGAAGTCTTGTGTAGCTTCTAGAAGGTCGGCGAACATGACTTTTTAGAGAGGCTTCTCGAATGCGGCAAGGTTTATGTTGAGGGCTTCACGGGCGCTTACTTTCTAGCCGCCGCTATATGGGCCCGAGTGGGCCTCCACGTAGGCCTCGAGGGCGGCCTTTTTCTTCTTCCGCCGCCTCTTACGGGCCTCAACTGCAACAAGGATCACCCCAAATACGCACAAGAGCGAAAAGAGAATGCCCATTACCACACTTCGTGCAGAGGATGTCTGTCGACGGTGCGAATGCCAGGTGGGCCCACAGAGCGGGTACCTACATAGGCCCGAGTTGGTTGAGAATAGGTAGTTCGGGAAGGTGTCGAACGGGGCCATCTCGGGTATCATCCTGGACAACTTGTTGTTTGACAAGTCCATGTCTACGAGCAAAGTGAGGTTGGTCAACGACTGGGAGATAGTTCGGTTCAGTTTCCGCCACCGTAACGACTCCCAACTTCACCTGAACTTCTCCTCTGCCCTTTTCTCCCACGAACACGTTGAACTTCTCGTTGCAGAACTCGTCTGTGAATACCGGCCATGTAAGCATCGGCACCCCTACGCCGTCCCTCGAGCATTTAATTCCACTCGTAGTTCATCACGAACCCCCCAACGCTCGGGTAGGAGAGTACGATCACCTGCGCGGGAGCCACCTGTGGATCACGAGTCCACGACACAAGCTCGAGCTCCTCGTCCGACACGCTGCTCCTCACGACCCACACGAAAGGTCGGCCCAACGCCTCAAGGCTCAAGTTGAGCTCCTCTTAACGAAGTGGGTTTTAACTGGCTGAAGTTTTAGTCTCAGTATCCGAAGCAACATGACATGGAGTAAGATTTTTGTGCGTGTACACATGTGTGTGAATGCAAAGGGGGAGAACAAAGATGAAGGGTAATTTAGTGGTGGTATAATTTGGTGTTATTGCTCCTCTTTTTTCCTCTTGTAGTGCTAAGTTTATTATATAATTTGGAGTGGCTAATTGAAAAAAAAAAATACTTGAATTGGAACTCACACTCCTCAGAAGAAAAACGATGCTCAGAAAAGCATGCGTTGTTAAGTGGGAAGAAGAAAAAGACAGAGACGGCCATAAGTACTATGGGTGTAGAAAGCTCTGAGATAGAAAACTGTGTTGAATAAGAAGTGATAGCTGAAAATAAAGGTTGTAACAATTTATTTGTTATTTATTGTAACCCTTGATCTATTTTTAATAATTTAAGAATCCAGGGGCTGATATTTAACAGTTGGGNAAATTCTAACCCTTGGATTAAGTATAAATAAAAATACATCTAAGGGTTAAAAATCATCTTAGATAAAAAACACCACAACTACTCCACTGCAATTTATATAAGCAAAAATCAAGAAAACCAACTACCTTGAGAGATAAGATAGAGCTGAAAAAGGAAGAAGACAAGGCCATCTCTAAATTCAAGAAACAAATTAAAATCTTAAACATCTTAATAAAATATGAGACATAATATAGAGAAAGGCAATAGAAAGTTTAAAGAAAATCCGAACTTATAATGCGAAAAGGGAATTTTTTAAGTTAAACCATAGAGTTTACAGCTGCTTGTGCTAGACTCATAATGCTCAAGCAGTCTTTTGCCAGGAAAATTATGAACGTGCAGAATCTTTGATTCAAATTGTACTCAAATGTCAATTAACAATTAACTTTAGACCAACATGTTCAGAAACAAGGAACATAAATTTACTATGTAACATGATCACGAGTTCTAAATTTTCTATATCAGCAGAAAAAAAAACCATAAATAAAAGATCTACAACATAAATTGCCATAAAATTTAATTGCACCGAAACTTATCTTTTCTTTGTTTGAGTTGCTTCTTAATGCCCAGGGGCATTGCTCAAACTAACTCCATGACCATATGACATATAAAAAAATGAAGATATACGCAGATTCCGTATGTTGAATATATTAGAAAAAAATAAAGCTTTAGATTCCGAGTTGGGAAATGCCAGACATTAGGAGAGACTATAGAGATCGCGCCAACTACGGACTCGCTTTCTTGGAAATTCACTCCATTCTAGACGAAGCTCAAATTCTCTCGGTCAAGAAAGTGCTGAAATCCCTTGTGGAAGGCAACGCGATCGGTAAGGGATGCTCGGGAGTAGCCTATCGCGTGGAGCTCAAAAACGGCAAAGTGAAAAAATTTGATCGACATGACGCGTGCCGGTTCTAACGACAACGACAACCGGTTCGATGCAGGTGAGGTGAAGACACTCGGGTCCATCTGGCTTAAACCATAACACGAGGCTGCTTATGTACGATTACATGGCAAACGAAAGCCTGACGTGGCTGCCTGGAGTGGAACGTGACGCTGCTTATGTACGATTGCATGCCAAATGGAAGCTCATCGATTTCCTCATCCTGGCCGGGAGCTTCACCAGAAAAAAAAGATTACTTCTTTATCAAAATCCATGGTCGTTCAATGCATGCTAACGCTCTTTACCATGTTAGTGTAAATGAAAAAATGCCATTTGTTATTCCGGTCTCATACTTCAATCATTATTCATTTCAAGAGATGTTTCAAGCCGAATAAGAATTTTTTTATTACACAACTTTGTTGTTTTCACTCTTCAGGAAGATAAAATATATCTTGCAGCGGCCGCTGTTAGCCTGTTACAAAGATGTCGGAAGAAGATTGGGAGTAGCTGTGGTGTTTTTTTATCTATGATGATTTTTAACCCGTAGATGTATTTTTATTTATACTTAATCCAAGGGTTAGAATTTAACAGCTGGGGCTGCTGTAGGTGACCCACAGCAGCCCCCCGTTAATGCGCGACGATAGCGAAACACGAGATGACAATTTTAAGGTGCGTATGGATAAATTCACTTGCCACTGTCTGAAAACAATAAGGTGATGATGATAAGATTGATGTGAATGAAATTGTAACGAATATCGTAGAGGTTGCTTATAAAATGCTAACCCAAATAAAGCGGAAGTTTGCACATAAGAATGAAGAAAATTTAGAGTATAATTTATTTTTCAGTTTGTAGATTGAGTTATTCATCTTTTCTATATTTATAACATGTTATCAGCACGATTGCTCTACTCGGTCACAAAGGTAGGAATACAGTAATTATATATA